ACAAGGTGTCGCCGCAGATGCAACTGAAGCATGCTGATCGCCATGTGGACGCTGTGGTATCGACTTGAATGTAACCAGGCCATACATCAGAAATCTGGAAGGCGTGGTGTCACATTAAGGGACACTCTGGTCATGCAAGTTGACATGTGGAGCACGAGGTATCGCCGCGCATGCGTCTGCAGCCATGCGAGCTGACACCCGGCTTATTTCTGATTGGTTGATGCTTCCTATATATAGCCCACGACCCACACTACATTTCAACACATTCAGAACACTTGACACTTACTTAAAAATGTGAGAGATAAAGAAGAGAAAGAAAGTGTGAATTACGATCATTTTCAAACTTTCTCTGTAGTTTATGAGAGATTTTGAGAACAGTTACTCTGTCAGTTTTGAGTCATCTGCCAGTTTTGAGTCAGCTCTAGGAAAGATTCATTTAGCTGAATATCATTCAAGCAGTGGATCTATTTTAGAAGCTTGGGAAAGGGTTCGGATCACAGAAGTCAGACTTTAAGGCCACGTTCAACCAAAATCAGTGAGCTCTAATCAATTGATTGCTGAGTTATTTTCATGCAGGTTCCCGTAACTTGGAAGTTATATCATGGAAGGAGAACAGATCTAACTGAGTAACAGTTTGATTAGTTAATAGTTGAGGTTAGGTTGATTGAATTGATAGCATGCTTAGTCATTGTTTGAGAATCATAGTAGCATGCTAATGGTTAGGTTGATTGGTTAGTTATGGAATTCTGAATGTTTAGATAATATCGCTAAGTTGTGTATAGTTAGGTATTCTGGAATTAGTCTCTATGCTAGATTCTGGAATGTGTTTGATTGTGTTGTGATTATTAATTGAAACCTTGGTTATATTACCGGGTTTAGTATTAGTAATATATTGGCCATATAGCATTTGTGTAACCCACAATGCTAGGCATATTAGGGGTGAGTTAGTGTTCCTATAGACCTTGTACCCGGCGGATTCAAGAAAATCCCTTATTCACTGAATCGGAAGACTCAGAGAGACATGGTCATGGCCTATGGCTGAGTGATTACACGACGGTGTAATGGTCGACAGTGATCCGAATGACTATGGGCTGTCACGTAGTGATTCGAATGACTATGGGCCGCGGTCGGTTGAAAATTTCTTCTTCCAGCCTCTGTAGTAGGGAGATAGGATATTGACGATAGTGAAAGAGGAACCTAACGCCACCGTGGTCCGAGTTAGTTATATATATTATATAGTGTAAAGGGATTGGTAAACCCTTGTTTGAATTGAGATCGAATATATGTGGTCTGCTGTGTTTTTCTGATATTGCTTATATTATCATTGAATTGTGTTACTAGGTGAATCTCTCGCTTTAGATTGTTTGGGATGGGATAGCGAGGGTTTGTATTTGTTAGTTTGGGATTGTAACTCACTGAGTAATGCTAGATTACTCATTCTTCACTCGTTGTTTTCAGGTGACCAGTAGTCAGCTTGTAGAGGTCACAGGAAGTTAGGCCGGCTTGTGTAGAGTTTGCATCTTTTTGCTTAGCAACGTTTTCAGACTATAAGTGTGTATTTTTTTTTCTCTTTTGGCATGCCATTACTTATGATATCACTCAAATTACCCTAAGGAGTGAATTATTCTCTCAAATAAGAGGTTCAGTTGTAGTACTTAGGGATCAAATCCACATGGAGCTAGGGAACCTAATAAATCTAGTCAAGTATAATTTCTAGGTGAATATATAAGCAGAAAAAATAATAAATAAGCTAATAGGAAGTATTCCAATCAAGCAAGACAATTACTTACTCGAGAATGGAAACAAAGACTCTTGAAATTAAAATGGAAAATATGCTAGATTTAGGGTTTTTATTCAGGTTTTGGGATTATAATCCTATAGGATGCTATTCAGTTGCTTGCGAGATACTATAGAGCATTAACTATCTTGATTAACAAATTATCTAAACTAACGTTCAAATAAATAAGTCTAATGATCGGATGGTCGCACTTGACAGTGTCGATCGATTATTCGATAGGAACATCGACCGATACACTAAACTCATCATCGATCGATTTCTGTTAGGAAGATCGATCGATGAGTCCGGTCAAGCAATAAACACAAGTTAACATAAACTCACTAAAGACATCTAAATCAAACTTATGAATTATATTTCTAGCAAATCTTAGTTTAATAGGGATGTGTTCAGGACTATCAAAATCACTTAAATGTCTCTAATCCAACCTAAATAATCCGGGATTCAATGTCTCTAGTTAGCTACTCTAGAATCATGAGCAATTAGAACATCCTATTAATAAGTATCACAACTAGCAATCCTATAGTTAGAGCTCTAAACTATTTAAACCCTAAATCTAACAAGTAAACTACTCAGACATAGCTAAGCAGTTCATAACACAAAATAGATAAATAAAACTGTATATTATAGATAAATAGATAGGTAGAAAACACTGGAGTTTCAAAATCAAATCTCTCTGATGATCTTGTCTCCAAACTATAAAAACCCTAAAACTTTGATGTGAAAAGAATATCTCTGCCTCTATCACTTTGGCAGAGTATATAAACTTAGGTTAAAACTCGTCAGGGGTATAATCATCATTTGGTGATGATTGGGCTTCAAGTCAACTTGTCTCTCTAATTGGCTTCTTGGTATCGATAATCGATCGATTATGTAGTATGCATGTCGATCGATCCGGGTCTCTCTGTGTCGACCTCATGATCGAGTCTGAATCGAACACTTCTTCCAATTCTCTCCAACAAGCTCCAAAAACACCACTTTCTTCCAAAATACTCCTGAACTTATAAATATGCTTAAAAGCTTCTATAGTATAGTAAATAGTAGTAAAAACACTAATATACCATGACAAAAAGGTCAAAATCATGGTATATAAACTTATATATTATTTTGTGTGTTGTGAACCATGTATTATATAAGATAAATAAAGCGAAGTTTTATGTAAACGACTTTTTTGTTACTGATATTAACTTGTCCAAGCTAACACAACGTTAGATTGGGGTATGGGTTGAGAAGCCTTGGGCTTTAATCTGACGGGACACGATAGTTGTCGAACTGGCCTAGTCACGAATTGCATCCTTTGTAATCTTGGCCGGATTGTCCCTAGCCCGTCATGTAGCGCTTCCGAACCTTGGTATACAGTTGGTCCGTCGGTCATGTTCTTGTTTGATTGTTGGCTGATGTTTCGACTTATACCTAGAACGGTTCGGGGGTGTTACATACACTCATGCACATAAGGGAATAAAACAAAGGGAGTGAGTAAATGAGATACTTAGTGAAACGGTTCCAGACCAGCCTTCCCGCATGAACCTCTATACTGCTCAATGCGAAAAGAAAACCGACCCAGCCACTAACAATCAGAAATTCACACAAGCAAGCAATGTAATGAACCCAGTCAACACCAATCCCCATTTTTAGATTCATTTAAGACTATGGGCAACCTAGATATCTAGGACCTATACACGTCCGGTGGATCACATATTCTGGTCCCCGCAAACATGCACCTACGTGATCAGCTGTCTGGTATGCACAACATCCAAATTCCAGAAAAGGTTCCACATTGACTGATCACATCCCGCCAAGGCTCACCGGTGACTAAGTCCTACCTAGCGCCATCTTAACTCACCGTCGCAGTCGTTGTCCAAACACATCCCTCAGCACCGGCTTAGATACCGCCGAGGTCAGCGTTCTGGATCCACCACTACCGATGTTCTATGATCCCTTTTCCTTTTAAGGTTCATTCCTTACATCCTAATTCTTCATTTCCTTATTCCATACTCGATTCAGTTACATCCATACACGATCTTAACATTCATCTATATGGTTCAGTCGACTCGATATCTATTAAAATAGGTTCAATTCTTACTATCAACCTAGCTTTCACTAAACACACATCAGAGAATCATATCAATCAACATTCATCATTAGATCAACACAAGCAGTATATTAATGTTTTTAAACCGGGTGAGCGTTCTTATGCAACATGATCTCTGAATCTAACATCCTAGCATCCTTGATGATTTACCACCTAATAACAATCAAGCTAAACTAATCATAATTACACATTTAACAATATAAAGAACATGAAAAGAGATATGGGTTCGAAACACCTCACCTGGGATTAGATCTGAACAGATCTGGAACTTGAAGCAAGAGAACAAGAGATTGATATTGAGCAGCCACCACACAAACACCACCACTCGCGGACGCCTACTTGGATCTGACGGTTAGTGCATGGCGAGGAGAGAGGAGGAGAGACGAAAATGAGAGAGAAGAGAGAAGGAGGTGCGAGAGAGAAGAAAGAAAAAGGAGGCAGCTAAGGCTTTCAGTCTTCGGAATTTATCTGCAGGACTTCGCTCTAGATTTCTAATGAGAAAGAAAAAGGATCGAGGCTCCTTATTTATAAGAAAAGGAAGGTAAACCCTTGTTTTAACCTTAATGCCCACTGGGCCTAGAGGGCATTCCTTTTTAACAACAAAAACTTTTTGGAGTTGGGTTTTGGGGTGTCACAATTCTCCCCCCATTAATCGGAATTCATCCCGAATTCCATTCTTCAGTCTTAGGATATTGACATCCCCAAAACTTGAAATGACATAAGTCACACAATAGGAAATGGAAGCATACAATAGCACCAAAATCTTTGCTCAATATCTCTTTTAAAACCGACAACTGAATTTAATTACTGAAATGGAGTAGGACTACAATAGTTTTCATACAACGCAGAGTATCTCTTACTAAGTAGATAACCTTAGAAATACAAAACACCAAGAATAAAAATTAAAGGAAAGTCGTGTCCTACTCCCAAAAGATGATCCAGAGTTCCTAGCTAGCCACTACGAAGTGGAGACACGCGTTCTGCCTCGGATCCAGGACCATGGCGCGTAGGCTTCATTCGCTGATGGCTTGGATCATCCTCCCCACGCGTTCTTCTGATGGATCATCCTCTGGTTCAGAGCTTAGGTTACGGAGAACCTATCGAACCATTCCTCTACGGCCATAGCTTGACCCCCATCATCACCACTAAAACAAACTCCAAAGGTTCCATGGCCCCATCCAGTTCTTCCCGAATAACCTTACGGAGTCCTGCCTTTCGCCACCGGCACCACTCCTCTGCAATTTTTGGCTTGTTCCTTATCCAGGAACTCCTCCGTGTACTCAAGTACTGTGTGGTACACCATCTGAACCAGGGTCTCGCATTGGCATGGTTTTTCACTTTCCTAGCGTTGCATGCATTTGTACCAAAGGCCCTCTCTGCCCCCTTTCTCTTCCAACTTGGTGGTTCCTCCGCTGGTGACTTGAACCCCCTCCATTTCTGACGCTGGTTTAACCTTGCTTGGTTGTCCTTCACTACAAGAAAATGTCACATATATAGTATGGGGAAAACGCTATTACAGGATAGCATAGCGTTATGATGAACGCTGTGTCTGCCCCCGCAATCTTTTCTCGGGTATTTTACATAGCGTTTTGTATATGCTCTGTTAAATTATTAGTTTGATAGCGTTTTATTAGTTGTGCAATTGTATAATTTATAATAGCAAATAATAATTGCTATTATAGAATTATTAAAAAAAAAAAATACAAATAAAAATACAAATAAAATATTATATTTTTTATATATAATCGAAAATGGCTACATATTTATGACCGGTAATCAAACGAAACCAATATAAACCTAAAAAAATTAAACCTACACCTAAAATTCTAAACATAAAGTTCTATAAATTAGCTCTGCACCACACCACGACCAACACCGTGAGAACTCCAACGTTGTCTCCATCTTCCAGTCACACACCAGAGCTTGGACCTTCTCCACTCTAAACCTAGTGTCCCCTCTGCTAACGACCCACCACTTTTGCTACCTCTTCCTCCATTAAGCTTCTCTGCCTTGTCCACCTTCGCATCTTGTGATGTTCTCAAAGGATATATTCTCAAAAGTTCAGCTAGTATTTGGATCAAGCATACATACATCATCCAAACCAATCTGCTAGAAACAAAAAAAGAAAGCCAATTAACTTAAAGCAATTTTATTTATACAAAAGATAAAATATTTGATCATTTCAACGAGTTAAGCATGATCGCCCAAGATTAAGCAAGCCAACAAATATTGGAATTAGGACATTACGCTGACATAGAAAATCTGGTTTCCAACTCAAGTTCCCAAACCCAAATAAAAAGACAAACGAGCAGTTGCAACGTTTGCATCAACTTTGACCAGGAGCCTCTGTTTTTACACTGAGATGCACAACAAATCATAATCACCAGAGCCAAAACTATAATTCTCATACAAGTTTAGTGATTCCTCACCTCCTTAACAAGCTCTAGTACTCTTGGAAATCCAATCTCATACTCTGGCTCACGTACTATATAATTCATAGAAAGAAAAACAAGAATCACACGAAGCTAAACACAACAAAGCCTTTGTTTTTGCTCTTATTATCTTATCATTTTACCTTATCAAGATATGTCTTTGACCAGATTATTTTTCTTCTGTCTCCACACCAGATCTCCTTCTTCTTCCTAATTTAAGGATCTGCAACAAGGCAAATACATCAATCGAAATCCGAAAGAAACAAATACAAAAGAGATTCAGGTATCACCTCCGCCTATTCATGACGTCGAGTCTTCTTCATCAGCCATCTCCTCTTCTTCTGTCGTCTCCTCTTCTTCCCATCTCTGACGAAGTCCTCTCTATGGCACCAAGTGATCATCGTGGGGATCCTTTGCTCGTTACAAGCCTCTTAGTTGGAAGGAGATTTTATTAAAGATGGAATTGGGATGTGGATATCATCTTGTCTTTGAAGAAGAATCACCAGAACCTACATAAAGATACGAACTTTAAGAACTTTATTTTGTTCAGATCTGTTGTTTAGGAAAAGTGAATCTGGAGAGAAAGAGAGCACCTGAGGAGCAAACATGAGAGGAGATTGAGAGAGAGGTAACTGTTGGGTTCGGATACGGCTGCAAAGGAGAGAGAGGCGTCGTCGTTCTGCCATTGTCCTCTCACGCCTTAAAGCTGACAACTGGAATAAAACAGAACTCTAAAAGACAGAAAACTTAGAACAAATCAGATCAGATATCATTACAATCTGGAAACTTTAGATCTGCTAATGAACTCGGAGCGAGAACGAAGTCGCGTCGGGAGTATTGGCCGGAGACCGGGAGGTTTCCTTCAGACCGGTCACTTCCTTTACCTCCTGCAATCTCAATCCCTCTCTCTCTCTCTCTCTATGTCTCATCTCTCATCTCTCTGTCGTGTTTCAGAAAAAAAAATGGAGAGGATCTGAGGAAGAGTTGAGATGAGAGGAGAAAAAGGGAGAAAGAAAGAAAACGTGAAAATATTTGTTTTTCTCTTTATTTATTTTTTTACTTTAGCTAAACTGAGTGGGTAAACAAAATAGGGAAAATGGCCTATTCCTACCCAAATAATTTCAATCGTGCCAAATACAGCCCGAACAAATATCCAGTGCCAAATACGACCTGAACTATGTTATAATTCAAAAATACTATCTGAACTGCCTAAACCTACATTGACCGTAACAGAAGTTAGTCAACCGTTAAAATGATAAAACGACGTCGGGAAAATGGCCTATTCCTACCCAAACAATTTCAATTGTGCCAAATACAACCCGAAAAAACATCCAGTGCCAAATACGACCTGAACTATGTTATAATTCAAAAATACTATCTGAACTTTTTAAAACGTGCCTAAACCTACATTGACCGTAACAGAAGTTAGTCAACCGTTAAAATGATAAAACGACGTTGGGAAAATGGCCAATTCCTACCCAAACAATTTCAATTGTGCCAAATACAACCCGAACAAACATCCAGTGCCAAATACGACATGAACTACGTTATAATTCAAAAATACTACATGAACTTTTTAAAACATGCCTAAACCTACATTGACCGTAACAGAAGTTAGTCAACCGTTAAAATTATAAAACGACGTCGTTTCGATTTCATTATTTTTTTTAAATATGAACATTCTAGGATTCGAACCCGGGCCTTGCCACTATTTAAAACAGACATATCAACTACTATACTAAAGCAGTTTTTTAAAATAATACTACAAATTTGCAATTATATATGCTTTTATACTTTTTCATCTTCTCTAATTAAAACTTTGGTTATTATTATTTTTGATTCTTATTAATATATTAACATATTTAATAAACATATAAATAATAAAATATTTATAATTATACAAAAATTAAATATATTTCATGTTTTGAAACTATTTACAAAATGTCCATATATAAATTATTTTAAATTTTAAAAATTGAATGTTAATTTCTTTTGTTTCTTAAAATTAATATAATCTGAATTTACTTTACCAAAATAAAATAAATTACCATTAAGTTTTATTTTTAAAATAATTTTTATATGGACATTTTGTAAATAGTTGAAAAACATGAAAAATATTTAATTTTGTATGATTATAAATATTTTATTATTATATTTTAGTATAATATAAGTTTATTGAAGATATAATAATTACAAAATATGTTAATATATTTATAAGAATCAAAAATATTAATAACAAAAGTTTTAATTAATGAAGAATAAAAAGTATAGTAGCATATATAATTGCAAATTTGTAGTATTTTTTAAAAAAATTTGCTTTAGTCTAGTGGTTGATGTGTATGTTTTAAATAGTGACAAAGCCCGGGTTCGGGTCCCAGAATGTTCATTTTTAATAATATATTAAAACGACGTTGTTTTAACATTTTAACGGTTGACTAACTTCTATTACGGTCAATGTAGGTTTATGTATGTTTTAAAAAGTCCAGGTAGGATTTTTGAATTATAACGTAGTTCAGGTCGTATTTGGCACTGGATGTTTGTTCGGGTTGTATTTGGCACGATTGAAATTGTTTGGGTAGAAATATGCCCGACGTCGTTTTATCATTTTAACGGTTGACTAACTTCTGTTAAGGTCAATGTAGGTTTAGGCACGTTTTAAAAAGTTCAGGTAGTATTTTGTATTATAACATAGTTCAGGTCGTATTTGGCACTGGAAATTTATTCGGGTTGTATTTGGCACGATTGAAATTGTTTGGGTAGAAATATGCCCTTTTCCCAAACAAAATAATTTCGGCAGCTTCTTTTTTTCACTAAATACTTAGCGGGAAAATGAAATTATTTTATGTCTAAACAAAAGATAGCGTTTTAAAAAATAAAACATAGCATGTACATTATAAAACGCTATCTTAAAAAAAGAGTTATATCAAAGATAGCATTTTCGACCAAAACGCTATCTTTTTATGCTATCTTTATCCTCTTCCCTTGTAGTGCTTGTTCTTGATTGACTAGCCTCCCGTCCGGTTCGAAATCAGACGATGCTAGAAGGAACTGTGGTTTTCACGGTTCTGACCCTCCATCCTATGGAACTGCAACGAGAAGTACTAGCGCTTCATGAGGGAACCTGACCATCCCCAAACAGGCAACTTGTTTCCATCTCTGTCGTAAACGGTCCTATGACCACCTCCAAGGTTAATTCTGGCTGGTGAAGACATCCTGTAAACAAAAGATCCAATCAGAACCGTAGTAGAAGTACATACTAGTTGATGGGTTTCATAAAACTTTTTCAAAACTGTTTTTCACAGATTTAAATAGGGTTTTCGAACATGGCGGAACACTGATCCCTTAAGTTAATATTAAGGGATATTAACCTAGCTCTGATACCAATTGTTACACCCACCTCCCCCATACACTCCATGGGTCAATGAGGACGGGGTTAATGACAACTATGTCAAACAGCCAACATTTTATGTTTCCTATTATAGGTCTCAGGAGTCACAGATGCGTATTTCCTTCTTTACAAATCCCACAACCCAATCATTTCCGGCACTTCTACTTACAGTCTTGTGCATAAGGGAAGGAAGGGGAGGATGTGAGTAAATGGGATATTCAGTGAAGCGGTTTTAGACCAGCCTCTCTGCATGAACCTCTATACTGCTCAATGGGGAAAGAGAACCGACAAGCCACTAACAATCATAATTTCACACAAGAAAGTAATGTAATGAACTCAGTCATCACCAGTTCACATTTTTAGATTCATTTAATACTAGGTGCAACCTAGAATTCTAGGACCTATAGACGTTTGGTGGATCACACATTTCGGTACCCGCTAACATGCATTTATGTGATCAACAGTCCGGTATGTACAGCAACGAAATTCCAGAAGAGGTTCCACCCCGACTGATCACATCCCGTGAAGACTCGGCATTGACTCGATCCTACCCAGCGCCATCTCAACCCGCCGTCGCGGTCGCCGACCGAACCCCTCAGCCCCGCGTTAGATACCTCCGAGGTCAGTGTCCTAGACCCATCACTACTGGTGTTCTACCATCCCTTTTCCTTTTAAGGTTCATTCCTTACTTCCTCATTCATTATTTCCTTATTACATACTCGATTAGCACACATCCATAAACGATCTTAACATTCATCTATCCGGTTCAGTAGACTGGATATCTATTTATATAGGTTCATCTTACTATCAACCTAGCTTTCACTAAACACACATCAGAGAATCATATCAATCAACATTCATCATCACATCAAAACAAGAAGTCCATTAATGTCCTTTAACCGGGTGAACGTTCTTATGCAACATGATCTATGCATCTAATATCCTAGAATCCTTGATAATCTACCAATCTAACAACAATTAAGCTAAACCAATCATAATTCCACATTCAACAATATAAACGGACATGAGAAGAGATATGGGTTCGAAACACCTCACCTCGGGTTAGATCTGAACAGATCTGGAACTTAGAGTAAGAGAACAAGAGATCAGGATCTAGCAGCTACAAACACCACTCGGACACCACAACTCGCTGCCGTCGACTTGGATCTGACGGTCGGTGCTTGACGAAAAGAGAGTAGGAGAGTGACATACCATGATTTTGACGCACTTTAAACATAGTATACAAGTGTTTTTATAACTATTTATTATATTATAATTTTTTAAGTATATTTATAGGTTCAGGAGTATTTTGGAAGAAAGTGATGTTTTTGGAGCATTTTGAAGAGAATTAGAGAAATCACACGATTTGGACATCGACCAACATAAGAGGTCGACACGGAGTGTTTATAAACGATCGATACCGAAGGCGCGAAAGACCAATTCGTGACCCAGCCAACTTGAAGCCCATGACTTCACCAAATTACAAGAATACCCCTGACGAGTTTTAACCTAAGTATTTATACTTTGCCATGGTGTTTTTGGTAAAGAGAGCTGTCTTGTATCCTTATTTTTCACAGAAAAAAGGTTTTAAGGATTTTTAGAGTTGGAGAGCAGATCCATAGATATTTGTGATTAGAACTCCATTATTATCTGTCTATCTATTTGTGCAGTTTATTTACCTTGTTTGTGTTCGATATCTTGCATATTTGAATTGTTTTAGCATTTCATTTTGTACATAAACCATCATATATATTAGGATTTAGATATCTTTAGGATCCACATTGCACTCATATGTCTTATTAGGTGCCGGGTTACTCTTAAGGTGTGATCAGAGGCTTGGAGAGGTGTTTTGGCTCATGGTTGGAAGTTACTTGAAGTTTGATGTTAGTTGGTTGAAGTCTGGCCCGGGTTGGTTCACGTGGGAAGGTTTACCCGCGGGTACATGAAAAATTGATCGTCGACCATCTTGCGAGGGGAGAGCTGTGCGGGTAGGGCCATCGTCCACACCCTGGACCGAGCTGGTTTTGACCTGAAATTTCTATTATTTTTAAAGGTCCTTTTGGTCTTTTTATGGGGAAAACCCTTGTGTTTCCAAAGGCCATATAAATACTCTTGTAATCCCTTTTGGGAATCATATCTTCTTTTCTGTCGACAAAACACATTTGGGAAAGTTGAATACTTGATTAATCTAATCTTTGTTTTTTGAGTAATTGAATCTATCTCATCTTCTAATCATGATTAATCTTCTATCCATCATGTGTTTAGGATTAAACACGAAGATTAGTGAGTATACTCTCT